CAAATGCGACTGTAGCTTTTTTCCCCAAAACTCTGTCTTCAAAATAAGGGTGCGTCTTATATTCCGAAAAATACGGTACGTTTGAAATTAAGTGGTGAAGAATATCAGTAGAAACAGTACTCATAAATACCAGTTAAGAAGAAATATAGCCAATCAATTTCTAAGACTTACCACATTATGAAGAAAGCCTTTTCGCGCATCTAACCTATCTACGGGATGTGGATCAGAAGGCCCAAGGTTTGAGCATACCGTATCATAGTTAATCTTGTTATGCGGTTAATAGTAGTATATGTGTAGGCAGCGGTCGCTACTGGCTGATTGCCTTTCTAAGCATTCCTAAATTAAGGATGGCTAAGTTTGAATCTTTAAGGTCTTTGGCCAGGCAGTTTGGCCAATATGATGCTGCTCAAATTGGAAATAACAAATTCTCTAAATAAATAAATAAACATATACATTAAATACACATGTTCCAAATATGGAATCTCGTATTTTTAGGGCCGAGCCCCTAGTGGTAAACGTGCCGGACTATATATCTGATGTTCCGTGGTTCGCGTCCCGTTATTGCAAGAAAATAGTCGCACTCCGCAGTTTATTGCCGTGGGTGCGTTATAAGAGTTACGGTCAAATCCCTTTCTATTTGTTAAACAATAGTTGGCGGTGGATGGCGACGACTAGCTGCCTTCCCACTAATCTAACACTTTATGATTAGAGACGACTAACGCAGATAGTCCTCGTGTAACTTTGCGCGAAATTCAACAATGTTTTTAAATGGTTAATCGCTTTGTTTTCAACTCGCCTCTTTATTTCTGACTACTGAAGGGCCCTAAACATTACTTAAAGTGTTTGTAACTAGTATGTTTGTCTACGGTATCAATTTATTTTGTATATAATATTCATTATGATTTAAGCATTCTTATTTTGTTTATTTTTTATTACTTCGCGCAAAACCACACAAAGGGCTATTTGCATTTAGCTCTCTCTCATTTTGAACTGATAGACTAGAGGGAAGGTAGATAGTCAATAACACCCACCGCCAACTCTCGTGTCTCACTTCTCTGAAATAATAATAGGATTTGACCATCACTCTTATAACGCACCCACGGCCCCAAAGTGTATAGTGTGATACCGCAACGGGATTCATATTCTTGGCACGCTAATCACAGAGTCATACCCGGTTTACTCTTTTTTCTTATAACACACGTGATCATATTACATTTGTTACTAGGTTATCCAACAGGATAGGGGGGAGGGTGATTCTGAACAGCATGCTAAGAAAAGCAAGGCTTACTGAAGTCTGAAAGCATTGAGAACAACTCACAAGCCTAATGACGAGACAATGTGCTGCTCTATTCACAAGTTGTGATAACCTCTGGTAAGTCTAATGACGAGACAATGTGCTGCTCTATTCACAAGTTGTGATAACCTATGGTAAGCCTAATGACAAGACAATGAGCTGCTCTATTCACAAGTTGTGATAAA